TAAAAAATTATCATACATACATAAAGGAATGACAAAATGGCGGCACTGACTGCCTCATCTTTAATCTATAAATGTTCCACACAAAGTTACTCCAAGTGCTGTCATATTTAGCAGGAACACAGGTATAATTATGGAGAACAGCTACTGAAGTGCGCAAATTGATGAGACTTATTCTGAAGAAAGATATAGCCTAGTAAATGGAAATGTCCATTCCTGCCCTGTATAAAGTCAACCAGTAGTATATGGAAATAATTGCTCAGTATACTAATCCGCGTCCACTCATTGCTGGACATGAGGTGATTTCAGGGCAAAATTTTGGAAAGATCCAAGGCTATAATAGCTTTGGGTAATTTTTAGAATTATGACATTTCCTTAAAATGGCCATAACGTGAAAAATTAAAGCTTGAATCAGCTTAAACTTTCTACAAAGAACAAGGACATCAATATGTACAGGTATACAGTATAATTGGCCACACCCCCACTGACATCACAATACAATTATTAACCTGAACTATATCACACCTTCATTATTGAAGAGAAGGTCTCACTCCTTGAGTCAGTGGTGGCCTCCTTCTTAAGTAAATCATCATTTAAACTATTTATGAACTCAATGGATTTATCCTGTAAATGTATACAATTAAAAATTGATGAATATAATATTAAATTTAAGTATATACTATGTACATGTACATGCACACTCACCACTATTGATATGATGTTCATTCCTTACTCTCTCAGTTGAAAAAATTGAACACAAACCAAATGGCCTGAAAATAAAAATAATAAAAGTTAATAAACTAATGATTATGTTAATAATAATTAACTAAACGTAACGATAATATAAAGGAACTGTTATTTCTCCTTCAAATACATGCATACATACAGGTACATGTATTGCTATACTACATGTACAGTAAGTTTGAGCTGATAATGATTGAATTGATTTGGTTATCATTTTTAAAGTTGCCCCAAAGCCATACATGCAGTAAATGTACATGCATATACACTATTGCAGTGTTTGTCAGCTCATAAAGCACATTCACTTTTTAGCTCACTTAACATGCTATATTTAATATGGGAAACCATGCATGCTACTAAAATCTAAAACTGTTATACCAAGAGTATATAATATATAAAGAGAGTATCGAACGGCCCTATAGAAGACTACTGCATGAGGGCGTATTTGCTCAAAGTCACAATCTGCATACTCCAGTATACTTATCATATCACGTGATCCACCATGTGGCAACATTAGCTTTTAAAAACT